ACAAACTAAACAAAGGTAAATCACAACAATCTACTGATGTTATACGTAAGCTAAGTCAATTAAGACGGAAGTAATTCCAATATAAACATCAGGTGTCAACACAGCTGTTTCAGGTCATTTCTGTCCTGGCTCTGGCTCAATCATTTCTATTTCCTCATCTGCAAGTCGGCAATGCTGTTTTTCCTGCCTAGACTGGGTCTGACACTGTAGAGCTGATCTCATGATTAAACCCTTTTCATTACATTATGTTCTTCTGTACTTAAAGATAAACTCCCACTCACTGTCTAACTTGCAAACAACATTTATTGGCAACCATAATATGGACTACTAAGACTTTGAAAAATAACAGTTTTATGATGAATGATTGTCTGACAAATAAACAAAGTTACAGGTTTATTCCAAAGATATCTCCTGCAACACAAAGAACATCTGAATTGGCAATCTTTATTCACTTATATTTTAATCAGGAAGTGAATCTCTTACTCTTAACTTCTTTGACGTCTCCTCGCACTGCTGGCCGTCTCTTCCAGAAAATAACAGGAAGAATATTCTAAATAAAAATGAACTAAGTTTTAACTCACAAGGGAATATACTGAGATGAATAATGCACTCTGCAGTGAAAATGATACCTTCTATGTTGTCTTCACCGGAGCGTTCCCTGACACCGTGAGAGCTGTAAAGAACAGTCACACCCATAGAGACAGAGTTCAACTCTAAATTCACACCCACAATAAAACCTAAAAATGTCTTTTAGTAAATCTCCCAATAAGACAGAGGCAATAAACACAGGCGATTCTTTTTCATAAACAAATGATTATGCAGTCAAAGAACTGTGTTCAACAATCCTTTGCTTAGGTAAATGTAGTGATATCACAGTACAAACCTGCTGCTTAGATGCTGTAGGAGCACAATAATATAATGTGGTGTTTGTGTATAGCATCTCACAGGGCAACGTTTGGATACTAGACCTTCATCAGGAAAAAAGTTTATCAAAAGGGCAGGACATCTTAAATAGGAAGGAACTAGTGCTGTATTCAAGACCACACTAACCGAGACCAGGACAAACCAGAGACCAGAGTGCTCCGAGACAACAAGACCAACAAATTAATTTAAGTTATTTGTTCTTTTAGAAAGAGGCGTTTTCCTTCTAATCATGTTAATGACGTAGAAAATAGCCGATCAGTGGAGGTCTTGACTGGTCTTGACTTAAATCCAGAGTCCGCCCGGACTGAGACCGAGACAAGACTGAATAAATATGATTAGATTCCTGGCGAGACCGACACCTTCAAAGTCTGAGTCTTGAGACCAAAACTGATTTGAGTACTATAGCTCTATTTGGGCCCTTTAGTGCTCTCTGTGTGCTCTCAACCAGGAAGCTGATGTTTTGTTTTTTAATTTGTTGATTCAAAGCTGAAGTCATGAAGATGATTGGTTGTAGGATTGTAGCCACTTCCTGTTGTTGTTATGTTACAATGTTACAATTCACTTAGCAGACACTTTATCCAAGGCGACATACATCAGAGAGTAAGAACAACAGTCATAAACCACCACTGAAGCAGCGGGAGCAATGTGGGGTTAGGTGTCTTGCCAAACTGTGGCGGAGCCACAGCCGCCCAGGAGTTCTGCACCTTTTAAAAACTGTTGGCCTGAGGAAGGTCTAGTACCCAAACGTTGCCAGTAAATGTTTGCTAATTAGACGGCGTGAGGGAGTTAACCTTGAAGTTTTTGATTCACATTTCTCTCCTACACACTTGATGAAATGGATGTCGAGGATTTTTCTATTTTAAATACAGATGTTGAGTAGGTGGGTATGGAGGTAGGCAGATAGATAGCAAGGCAAGTTTATCTATATAGCACATTTCAACAAGGCAATTCAAAGTGCTACACACAAGACATCAAAAGCATCATGACAGAGGAAAAAATAAATATTAAAATAGAACATTTAAATTTGCTGAAACAATATCTTATTAAATCTGAAAATATGTTAAGATAGAATAAAATCATTAAAATAAAAATAAATTGAAATAAATAAAATAAAAATATAGAAAGAGTACATAATAAGCGTAAACGTTACAGTGCAGACTTACAAACTAGAGAATATGGTGGAGGTGTGAGGTGACGACAAAGAGCAGATTGTTAGCTGTATGCAGATATCATTAAAACTGAAATGGCCTTATCAGACTACCAATAAAAGCCATAACACTTGTACCAAAGTTCAGTCCAATACAGACAGAGGTTTATGAGCCAGCTGACTCACACAAAGCATTACTTTTTGAACTTGTTGTGTAATGAAGACCTCTGGTTATTACTGCCATTAAACACAAGCAATAAATGAAAACACGACTGCAAGATCAGGGTCCCTATCTGGTTTGTTGAACTGTCACCAGATGGTTACGTTGTAGAAAGGTCAAAACACCCAAACCTCTCCTCAATATCTCAAGAAATCTAAACAATCCAAACATGTCTTTTTATCCCTTCAAAAAATCCATATCTCTCCCTATAAAAATCTTCAAGAAGTCCAAACCTATCCTTAAAGATCGTCACAAAGTCCAACCCTATTATCATAAATCTTAGAAAATATCCAGAACGTTCCTTGAAGCTTGTGAAATATCTTAAACCTTATAAAATCTTTGCATTATCACATATGATTAAAATCTTCGAACCTGACTTATTCCAAACCTATGCTTTCTAAACACCAGTTTGACATACGATCTTAACTTTGTATCACAGCACTTAAACAGAGAAACACACTGAATAAAAGTTACATTTGAAGCATTTATAAAAGTCTTTATTATTGTTCTATAATTACTGAAGGACAGAAAAACAAACAAAACTTCTCTTCACTGAAACATTTGATTAAGTATTTTTTTTAATCGTCCTTAAAATGAAAGTTTAAGTCATTTTAAATTATTTCGGTTGCGTTCTCCGGGACTCATAAACCACAGCGGTACATTCTGAGTTAAAATACGTCACAGTTTGAAATCACTGGCCACCAGAAGCTGTTTAATCTGTACATTTAATTCTTCATATACATCATCCAGTAGTCAGTATGAACATGAATATGTAAACGCATAAATAAAAACATGGTAGGTTTCGCAGTGATACTGGCTGAAGTCACATTTTAAAGATACAGATGCCCGTCTTTGTCGTCTCTTGTATCAGACTGGATTTTAAACCAGAGCCCTGAGTCTTCGTGCTGCATTCACTTACTCCCTGGAAATGATCATACTACATTTTTCACAGTCAAAGCGACGGAGCTGACTCGTTTAAACCAATAAGGGATGCAGTGATTGTTATTTCCTGCTCTTCATTCTGTTCAGGTTTATTACAGAAAAGATCAACCTTCATCTTAACTCAGGAGTTTGTCTGAACAGACCTGGTCGATGACTTTAATTAAAATCAAACATACTCCAACAGAAAATAAGCTGAACAGTATTTTTCTATAAGCTCTGGGCCTGTATTTACAAACCAGGAAACACAAAGAATATATATTGTTTTAAAGCTGCTTGATTATAACTAAAATCGTAATCATGAATGTATTTTGGGATAAAAAAAGTTTTACTCCCAGTAACGTGTGCGCTGAACTGAACTAATACATTCACATGAACTCAAAAACACTGTTCTAGTAAATTAAGTGAAACTCACAAAGCTTTTCCTTATGAAGCTAAACTAATTTAAAAGAATATTCCCTTTTGTCTTTTAACCCTTTCATTTGAATCCACCTCTGAACTTGTTCTCAGGTTTATGGCACCTACCTCCCTCTGAAAAAAGAAACTGACATCAGTTTGTAATTTACACATGATAACACCTGTGATGCCTTGCTCTAAACTCAATCTAAGCTCTCTTCTAAACTGCTCTAAGCTCGCCCTAAACTCAATCTAAGATCGCTCTAAACTCATTTGAAGCTCGCCCTATGCTAGCTTAAAGCTCACTCTAAGCTCACTCTTAACACGCTCTAGGCTCACCCTAGCTTCAGTGCTTGGGGCGACTGCATAAAAAAAGGCAGAGCGCCCGGAAAAAAAACACTGAGCAGCACTGCGCTTTTTCTCCGGGTGTCCGTCTGCTGCTGGAAACGCTCTCTCCTCATTGGAAACGCTCTCTCCTCATTGGAAACGCTCTCTCCTCATTGGAAACGCTCTCTCCTCATTGGAAACGCTCTCTCCTCATTGAAAACAATTGAAAAAAGTTGCAGGCGCTCAGAAAAAAAAAGAAGCTCAGTGAACACGGGGCTTGAAACACCAAGTTCTACGCTACGTTTTCTATAACCGTTTCGTGCTTTTGCCTCTGACGATACGAGACAAGTCGACTTCTTGAAATAATAATCACAAACTGGTCGTAACCACGTGAACAAGGAGTAAAAAACAGGTTCTGATTCATGTTCGCTCAGCTCTTCTGTTCAGAATTAATGTTAGAACTGATTCCATATTTAAGTATGTTGAACTGATTGTTGTTTGTGTTTCTAAGTACCAGCTGTGTCGACCCAACTTTCCTCATGTGGGATTAATAAAGTTGATCGAGTTAATGACAGAGGAAAGGTGTTTGATCGTGGTGTTATATTACATCAATTAAAACTTCTGTTTGCATCATTATTACTGTTTGTGTTAAAGCATTACTGTCATGATAGAAAAGCGTTTTGAGTTGTTATTGTCCGCTGGCCTAGTTAGTGCAAATAGCTTATTAGTAACAGTCATTATTAGGTAAAGTAAGCGTCCTACCTTTGCATATAAACAGCACGCTATAGGTCAGCCTCTTTTTTGTTTTGCTTTTGCACACTGCAGAGCTTTAAGCTACATATAGTATTTTTTTTTTATGTGAACATGCAGCTCTCCAGAGGATTTTAAGGGACTGATGACGACGTGTGTGATAAATACAGGCCCAGATCTTTGTTTTTCCCACAGGACATGAACGCAGCATTTTACAACCACTCACAATAAAACTAAACGCGTGTTAAAAGTTCCTCAAGGTGTGTCCATCCTCTTTCATCAAACATGGATGCTAGCTGTTTCAATGGTAACTTTATTTTCCCCGACACACTGACAGAGTGAACGAGGCGTTCTTCACCTTCACCGTCCGTCCGGACCTAGCTGAGGATTTTGTGGTATGGGTGGAGGGGGAGGGATGAGGTGAACGCTCTGATGTCTGAGATGAGCGTGACGTCCTGGAGCGCCGGCGAGGAGGCAGGCAGGAAGTTCAGCTCGCTCACCTCCCCGTATGCCGAGGAGGAGGGGGGGGAGTCGGGGCTGTCCTGGCTGCAGCAGACACTCTGCTCAGGCGGGTCGTTCTCCTCCACGCCGAAACCGACCACCTAGTCCACACCGGGGGGGGGGGGGAGAACAAAAGGGTTCAAACTCAGTCTACGAGAGATTTACAAACCTTCATGCCGTCAACTCAACAAACAGCCCCACGGGCCCGCTGAGCCTCCTACTGCCGCCGTTTCTGTGTCCCCTGAACCAGGAGACCAGCTTCCCCTGACTGAAGACCTTCAGGGCCTCGATCTGCACAAAACACAGCCGATCAGAGCCAGAACCAGAGACCTGCAGAGTCCACTAAGTGACTGTAAGCTGTATGAGTTCATGGTCATTAGATGTTGTGATTTAGAAAAAGTCTTCTTAATAAGTATGTTAAGGATGAGTCGACAGGGGCCTGTGTCTCAGTTAGTTCAATTAGTGACTCTTTAGTCTGTTTTAAATTAATCAGTGTGCTTAATATTTGATTCTGTTCAAAAACTCAGCAGCACTAAAAGTCCTGGAAAAGACGAGTCACATGTTCTCATCAGCCATTGTTGTTGACAAAGCTTATGAGAGTACATGTGTGAAAACAGGACGATTATGGAGCCAGCAAAAGCCCGATTAGCTGATGGTTACTAAGATGATCTTTCCAGACTCTCCTGTGGTGTGAGGTGTGGTAAGAGGTCATCACAGAACGAGGAATGGAAGTGCCTCTCACCTCTTTGTTGAGCCGCTTGAAGACGTACTGCTGCGTGACGACCTCAAACCAGTTTCGGTCGACCTCCTCTCCCAGGTGAGCGTCCTCGCACTCCTTCAGCTTGATGAGAGCGGTCACCTGCGTTTTAAACGCCTCCTCGCTAAGACCCGACAAACACTCGCCGAAGCTGACAAGGAACTCCTCGATCTTCGCCTCCACAAACTCTGTGCTGAAAGGACAAAAAGACAAAAACACGTCCGCTCAGTCGCCTGGAGCGTCAAAACAAAACAACAAAACCTGCAGCAGAGGTCAACAGAGGTCAGCTCACCTGAACTTGGTGGCCTGTGTTTCCACGGTGACAGAGAATCCCAGCACCCCTGAGGTGTTCCTGCAGGTTGGGTACACCTGGTACCTGAAAGGAAAAGAACTCTTTATCACCAGAATTCTTTTGATTCTACAACATCGACGTAAAAAGTACGACAGGTACAGGTATAAAAACCCTATATTCCAATTTTCCCTACTTATTTTATCCGCCCTTAAACACGCGCAGCCCCACAGGCATCGATGAGCGTCCTTTCAGAAAGGATGTGGTGGGCGCTGCGAGCCACTCTAAAACCCATTCACTGTCTATGTGTAGCGCAGTGCAAGAGCGCGTCTGCACCCTATTGAGGTGAGCGCAGCACGCTTGCTGTTCAGATATTAAAACATGTTCATCTGTGGCGCAGCGCCCCTTGACGACACTTCCTGATCAGATCTCAACAAAACGTTCTCTCACTTTGGTGAAAGCGCTTTGAGTGTGTTAGCACCATCGTCTCGGTCTGAGCTGCAGAGTCTGTTTAATCGGCTTGGAAGATTTAAAAAGCAGGATAAAGGATCATTTGACCACTGTATTCACATGTTTCTCTGCTGGAGGCTTCTGATTGGTTGATTGATGTAAAGTTTGTTTATTGTGTGAATCTCTGATGCTGCTCTCTGGTTCAGGACTCTCTTGGAAAAGAAATCTTGTACCTCAGCGAGAAAATTAAGAAAAGTGTTATATGTATATATTTCAGAGTATTGTGATTGTTTCTCAGGCTGCAGTGACTCTGGTTCATCTTATTGTATCTGTATTTATCATGCAGGTATCAGCAGGTGGCTCATATAGCTTCAGCCTGCTTTAATCTTTAATCTTGAAAAGCAAAATAATTATATTTTCTGACCTCTCACAGCCAACACCTGCAGTACCTTCATGACCCACCAGGGGGCTGCAAATTCCTGGTCTGTTGTTAAGACCCTGCGTCATATTTATGTAGTGATCATGTTTACTGTGAACTGTGCAGCTCTGCCTCCTACCCAGCAGTGTGTGTGTGTGTGTGTGTGTGTGTGTGTGTGTGTGTGTGTGTGTGTGTGTGTGTGTGTGTGTGTGTGTGTGTGTGTGTGTGTGTGTGTGTGTGTGTGTGTGTGTGTTGAGCTAAGTCAGGTGGTCATGCAGCTCTGTATGAATGACTGAAAACTGACCCCAGAGTCTCCTTGGTTCTTAGGAAGTCGAAACACGGCTCCTCCATGTGCATCTGTGGAGACAGACGGACGTCAAAGAGATTTAAAGAACAAGACTCGTCTTTGTGCAGCTGCAGCTAAAAGTCAGTGAACACTCACCACCATCAGCTCCATCAGAGCGTGCTCTCTCAGGTTCTTCAGCCCCGACTAAAAACACAAAACACATTGAAAAACGTTTTTAGATAGAACAGGAAATGTTGGGAGGAGAGAGTAAGGGATGTGCAGCAAAGCCACGGACACTAAGACCAGGACCACAGCCTCTGTACGCAACATAACCACCACACTGTCTGGCACCCCCAAAACAGGGCGGATATTAAATCATCTAAAACTCAAACTATATGGACAGTTTTATGAGCTTAGGTCTGAAATTAGTGTGAACTGAACCTTACAAACACGACAATTAAAAGAAAGTGAAAGCTGAAGTTTTGTAGTTCTCATTTGTAGTCCGGTGTGATCGTTTAGTTTTCCTACCTGGAAGTAGACGGTGACCTCGGAGTTGGCGTCTGCTTTGTTGAGAGATTTGACTTTACACAGATGATGTTTCTGAGGCAGCTCCACCACCCGGAACAGCACGGGGACCTCTGCTGACAGAGGCTGGAACTGCAGCTTCCTGCAGAGAGAGACAGAGGGTTCTTTTAATAGCACGTTTACACATCAGCTACACAGTAGTAGCACTACCACATATCAACATCAGAAACAGCATCAATGTACAAATGAAGCCGATTACTCACTCGATGAAGTACTGCAGGAACTCCTTGGACTCCTGTGAGAAGAAGAAACAAACGTGAGATACTTTAAATTTTAACTTGACAACGTTGACGAAAACAAGCAGTAAAGAAATCTAAGTAGGTGTTTCAAAATGTTTAATTTATGAAGTCTTGAAATGAACAAGCAAAGCATTTTTAAGAGGAACACAGAGCAACTTCACCAAGCTCTTCACAGCTTTTTCACACCATTTCTCATCCTGGTCACAGAAATTAAACAAATCTTTAAACGCTGTCATTAAGGTTATTTCTTAGATGCAAACAACAACCCTTTTCCTACTTCCACTGTTCAGCTCAGAGGTTGAAAATGGACCTGTGCTGCGCGGATACAGCGTTTTTTAAAGCACCAGGAGCCGTTTAGAATCACGTCGTACATCAGTTCACCTCCGTGTTTGAGTACAGTCACGTTCTCGTGCCTGAGACCACCTCTTCAAGCGGACTCTGGCACGGTACTCGAGTACGGTAGGAGTACGGTACGTTTGTGTTCACACTGATCAAATGAAGCCAACATTGGGGTCAAGCGTACTCGGAACGGGGCCCGAGTCCCAAATTTGAAACCAGCCTAAGACAGTGAAAACATTCAAAATAAAAGCCGATTTTAAGTTTTAAGTGATAATGGAATTTCAAAGCTGCGATTAATCCTGATTAAAAATGTAATCATTAGACAACACTAATCTTTTTTTTGCCAGAGTCCGAGTCGCTGTCAGAGGGCGGGACCGTGTGATGAACGTAGCAGAAAGGTTTTGTTTCGGTAGCAGACGTTAGAATCAGCTGAACTCGTGGTATGGATATCAGAGAAAGAACCACTTTGACTTTTTATTCTGCTCTTAACGTGTTTTTTTTTTAATTTTGTATCTAGTTTCTTCTCACCGCGCTGGTGAAGTTCCCCTGCACCAGCCCCTCGGCGTACAGCTCCGCCTTCAGCCCGGAAACGAAGGTCAGGAGGTCGTCGACGGTCAGACCCTTGGTGACGGCCTGATACTTCTGAATGACCGACCAGCGACAGTGCTCCAGGATCAGCAGACGGACGTCCCTGAAGACAAGAGACGGACAAGTAGTCAAGTCAAGGGGCGCGGATGGCCTAGCGGTTAGGCTGCGGCCCATGTACGGAGGCTGTAGTCCACCAAGGTTCAAATCCGACCTGTGATTCCGGTCCTACATGTCGTTAGATTTCCTTCACTCTCCACTGTCCTATCAAAATAATCAAAGAGTGTGTTCAGAGTGTGAGACGTACTTGCCGAGTCTCTCGGGTTTGATGAGGATGTTGAAGTAGGTCTTCTTCAGCTGCTCAGAGAACATGTTGAACACGCCGGGCTCCGTGCTGAACTCGGCCAGATGATCCACGATCAGCTTCAACAGCAGCTGAAGCAGAAAGGAAGTCAGCTCATCCTAATGGTTTGTCATATTTGACCAATAATTGCTTTTCTGGATTAACTGATCAACCGCAGAGACACCAAACGCTCTTCATTCAGTCTCCTCACCGGCAGTTTGTGGTTGAATCCTTTGAGCCGGATCACCAGGCCGTGCTCCCCGGCCACCAGCTTGTACTCCAGCTGAGCCACGTCAGCCTCGTACGCCGGCTCCGCCAGGTTGTGAGCCAAGACGTTCACGAAGAGGTCGAAGAGCACCAGACTGAGCGAGCGAGAGAGAGAGAGAGAGAGAGAGAGAGAGAGAGAGAGCGAGACGTTACGGTGGTGCTCTGTGAAGATGAAGTCGTCATTTCAACGTGGAGGTTTCTCTTACTTTTCTGGACTCTTCTGAATCATCGGGGTGATCAGGTTGAAGCGGATATAAGCTGGAAGACAAAAAATGACATCTCATTAAAACCAGAGTACAAACGGTTTGAAAGCTGCATCTTTATTTACTGTAAAATCTGGAGTATAAATCACACCTGTATGTACCTGTGTTTGGGAGTCTCTCAGAGAGACAAAAGGTCCTTCTACGTGATGATTTCCACTGCGCTCAGCAAAGTCTAAAACGTTTTCTGTGCAGCTGTGTCGCTCTTTTAGTTCCAGTTTGCGCTGCTGCAGTAGCTACAGTACGGTAGTTTAGCTCTCAGGCTACGGTGAAATTTGGGATGCACAAACAACCTGTGAGTCACACTGGTCGCCCATGATTCTTTAACAGAAGGGTCTTTCAATCAGTCAGACACTCCACAAGATTTATTTACTGAACAGTATACCACCGTTTTCTTAAAACTGACCGCCTAGTCGGCATCGCTTTGTATCCCAAGATTTATATCGATGTTTGATTTTGAAAATATCGATGTAGTTTATGTTGCGTTTAAATAAAGGTATACGTTTCATCAGGATACGTGAAGCCAAATGTTGAACTCTCTTCTTCAGACACGCCTCTGGACTCACCTTTGGGGATCTTGAACTTGTTGTCCTTCTTGTACCACAAACAGCCTCGCTCGTTGTTTACGATCCTCACAGGAAACTCGGTGTCCGGACAGTCCGACGTTTTCAGGTCGAAATCCGTCGCTGTAGCACCAAGAAGAGAAAAGAGTCATGAATCTGACGGACTGAGAGATTTATTTCAAACGTGAGTCGACACCTTCAGTCTGAAATAACGTGCACGTTGTGTTTGAACTGACCGATGAATTTGTTCTCAGCAGGAAGGTGGAGGTCAGGGTTGGGCTCAAAGTCTCCGCTCCAGCGCTGAGCCCACTCCTCTGAGACGTCTGGGGAGAAAAAAACAAAAACACCAAATTACACTTTTCAAATATTTGATCATTTACAGTTAACCCATTCTGCAGATCCCTGTTTTAAAACTCTCATGAAGTGTTACAATGCTGGATGCTCAAACTAAACGTGGTCAAATATTCAGATCACAAGGTAAAAGTATGATGGCTTGTTCATATCATAGTTCATCGATATGAAACCAAGAAGTTCCCCAGACGGCTTCAAGCCTCTAAGTAAGCCACTGAAACCTCTTACATAGACTCTCTTCTCCCGGCACTGGAGAGCAGCCCCCCCTGGCAGCCCTGCAGTGTTCTGCCCCACCAGGGAGGATTTCCAGAGAGCTGGCCAATCAGAAGAAAGTAGGCACGTGGGGAGTGAGGCCTTAAAGAGACAGCGATATTTCCACCCTGTGATGTTTGGCCTTCAATCTGAATATCTTGGGAGGCGTAATCGGGGGACCAAGCAATCTCAACCCAACACGTCTTCAGAGGTAGTAACAGAGGCGTTACAGAAGAGAGGCAGTATTACGTCACCCTAACCCAGTGGGGGAGAACGACACTGAGTTGTTGCAGGTCTGACTGTGTGTGTATGTGGAGCTCCCGCTTTGAACGTACAAACATGTAATGATAGCTGAGCTTAGTTCTGATGATTTTGTAGAACCGCAGGTTGATAGTGATGTGTGTGTGTGTGTGTGTGTGTGTGTGTGTGTGTGTGTGTGTGTGTGTGTCGTACCCTCCTTGCTGTAGCAGGTACCAAACCATTTTTCTCTGAGCGGACAGTGACCTTCGTTCTCTGGTGACAGCAGCAGCAGGTTCGCTCTGTTGGGAGTCAGCAGGGAGAGAGCAGCACTGATCACCTGAAACACAAACATACATACACACAATATAAACGTTTGAGCAAACCGTGCACGCATGGAGCAATCCAAGGATTTCTGTTACCGGCCGCAATCCTATTCTTAAAGGGGACATATCATGAAAAATCCTCTTGTACAGTGTTTGTGAACATATATCTGGGTAACCTGAGAGTCTACTGACCCACAACATGTGAAATAAACCCATCCAGTCCTTTGTTTGTGGTCTGCATAAGTCTGACAACACAGAGAAAAATGCTCTGTTTCAAATGTGCTCTCCTTGTGATGTCACAGTGGGATTCTGGTAAAAAAAAAAAAAAATCCCCTCCCCTCCCCTGGTATCTCAAAGTCAAAGTCAACTTTATTGTCAATTTCAAAATATGCCAGACATACAGCGGAATCGAAATTGCGTTTGTCTCCGTCCCGCGGTGCAATACAACCAAAATAAGGTAAAATAAGATAAGTTCAAAATAGATAAATAAAATAAGGTAAAATAAGATAATTCTAAATTGTGCAAAAGGTACAAAATGGTAAATAAAATAAAATTGAAAGAAAAAGTAAACTTGTGCAATATGTGCAATGTGCAGTAAACTGATTGTACTTTTGAGATGTTAGCTTTAGAGTTTTTAGTCCAGAGTTCTTGGTGGCAAACGGGAGGGGGTTTCAACGTCCAGTGTTCGTGGGGGCAGAGGGGAGGAAGGAAGAGAGGGCAGAGAGTTAAGCTTCCTGACCGCTTGGTGGAAGAAGCTGTTTCCCAGTGTGGTGGAGCCGGCCCGCAGGCTGCGGTACCGTCTCCCCGATGGCAGGAGGCTGAAGAGGCTGTGTGAGGGGTGGGTGGGGTCACGCACAATGCTGGTTGCTTTGCGGGTGAGGCGGGTACCGTAGAGGTCCAGAAAAGAGGGGAGTGGGACACCGATAATCCGTTCAGCAGCCTTCACTGTGCGCTGCAGGGTCTTGCGGTTGGCAGCAGTGCAGCTCACACACAGTGATGCAGCTGGTCAGGATGCTCTCGATGGTGCCTCTGTAGAAGGAGCACATGATGGATGGGGGGGCTCGTGCTCTCTTCAGCTTGCGGAGGAAGTAGAGGTGCTGCTGGGACTTCTTGGCCAGTGATGTGGTGTTGGCTGTCCAGGAGAGATCCTCACTGATGTGAACCCCTAGGAACTTGGTGCTGCTCACTCTCTCCACAGCAGCACCGTCGATGGTCAGTGGGGGTTTAGGAGTGGGGACTCTCCGGAAGTCAACAACAACCTCCTTAGTCTTGTCGACGTTCAGGAAGAGGTTGTTGTCTCTGCACCACGTGGCCAGTTGGCTGACCTCCATCCTGTAGTGCGTCTCATCGTTGTTGGAGATGAGACCAACCACTGTTGTGTCGTCCGCGAACTTCACAATGTGGTTGCTGCTGAAGGATGGAGCGCAGTCGTGGGTCAGCAGCGTGAAGAGCAGGGAGCTGAGCACACAACCCTGGGGGGCCCCAGTGCTCATGATGATGGTTTTTGATGTGCTGCCGCCGACCCGCACTGTCTGAGGCCTCTCGCTGAGGAAGTCCAGCAGCCAGTTGCACAGGGAAGTGCTGAGCCCCAGCTGTCCAGTTTGCTGATCAGCTGCTGAGGGATGATGGTGTTGAATGTTGAACTGAAGTCTATGAACAGCATTCCACCCATGGACTCCACCCCCAGACTAGAACAAAACTTTTGCGCAGGTCGGCCATTTTTATTCTCTCTACAGAGGAGTGATGTCTACGGGGAAAACTCAAGGGGGGGAGGGGTCATTGCATTTAAAGAGACACACACACCAAAACGGAGCGTTATGAGAGAGCTGGTTTCTACAGGGTCACAAACCTCCTCTGGTGCTTGATTCATGTTATATTTTGACCAAAGCACAGCACAGATGTTTCATTTAGACCACAGAGGACTGTTTGAAAAGGTGGAGGAGGGGACTGTTTGAAAAGGTGGAGGAGGACTGTTTGAAAAGGTGGAGGAGGGGACTGTTTGAAAAGGTGGAGGAGGACTGTTTGAAAAGGTGGAGGAGGGACTGTTTGAAAAGGTGGAGGAGAGGACTGTTTGAAAAGGTGGAGGAAAGGACTGTTTGAAAAGGTGGAGGAGGGGACTGTTTGAAAAGGTGGAGGAGGAGGACTGTTTGAAAAGGTGGAGGAGGGGACTGTTTGAAAAGGTGGAGGAGGGGACTGTTTGAAAAGGTGGAGGAGGGGGATCATATGTCCTCTTTAATGAAGCAGACCATCAGTGATTTTGTAATCTGAACCTAATTCTAGATCAGATCTGGTTAGGGTTACCTGGGGGTCGTACTCGAACATGAGCTGGTCTCCGGTCAGGAAGTCCTCTTTGGGAAACAGCTGCATGTTCTCACAGATGTTCTCCACAAACTCGATGGGATCCGTCTGTCAAAGCGGGAAAAAAACACTTTATCCTTGGTAATGATTCATGAGTTTAAAGCCGTTTTGTTTTCGTCTCCTGAGAGCTCATATCATTTAATCTCCATTTCTTCTTTCCCTCTTATTACCAATAATGTCGATTTAATAAGCACAGCGGATGAATCATCGCCCTGGGCTATCGTCACAAAGATAGAGCTGATTAATCATCACACAAACACATCTGACTGTTAATTACCTGCCCACAGAGGTGTGTTTAATCTCCCTGTTATCACATTCATTTATCCACTCAGATGAAAACACATCGATCATCAGTACCTGCTCCTGATAGTGGAACTCGTTGGCTTCGATCTTCTGGATTTCCTCGTAGATCCTGAAGACATTTCAAACGAGCAAAAAGAAACGAGGAGGAAAAAGTGGTTACTTGACTTATTTAAAGACACAGCTGTCCCACATCTGAGAACTGTAATCCTCTCTGGTTTCAGCCCAAAGACGCAGAGCTCTTCTTTTACTCTCCTTCGTCCATCGTCAGTCGTTTAAAGTAGAAAACGCTACAACATAGTGTCTAAACGTGATGCTACCAGTCTTTGTTGGATATCAGTCAGTGTGTGTGTGTGTGTGTGTGTGTGTGTGTGTGTGTGTGTGTGTGTGTGTGTGTGTGTGTGTGTGTGTGTGTGTGTGGAGGCTGACCTCTGCTGCGGGCCGAGAGTCTGCAGCATCTTCAGGTACTGGAACACAAAATGAACCACCTGCACAGAGAGAAACGTAAAGAGTTACTGTCTGCCCCGCAGTTAAAACATCTCGTCTGGAACAATCGCTCCACAGAGTCCACCGGGGAATAAAAGTGTTGTGTGTGTTTGTGTGTGTGTGTGTGTGTGTGTGTGTGTGTGTGTGTGTGTGTGTGTGTGTGTGTGTGTGTACCTGGTAGAAGTTCTGGTAGCCCTGGTCGGTGAGGGTGATGGAGATGGAGAAGATGGAGTAGGTGGTGTTCTGGTCGAAACCCGTCTCACTGTTTCCTCCAAACAGAGCGAGAGCCCAGCACCTGAACACACACACACACACACACACACACACACACACAACACACAACACACAACACACACACACACACACACACCAGAGGAAGATGATTATTTTAACCACAAACAGCTTTTCCGTCACTCGTCAGAGTCAACAGACTTCAGTGAATTAATCACAGATTAAAACTCAGAGAACACGGGACATGATGCTCTGTCTCCGCTAGTGTTGTAGTCAAGACCAGACTAACAAGACCTTCAAAAAGGTTTTGACAAACTGTCGGTGTGTTTGCACGCTGAAACTTCTGGAGCAGTTCTCAAACTTTTTTTTCTTCTAGTCCTTCAGACCCATGAATATATTCAAACAGGGCACAGAGGTCGGACTCGCAGTATTCAGAGCTGTTTTTAGCTCCGGTGCATTTCATCATGACTCACTTCTTCCTGAGCAGAGACAGGATGCTGCCGGTTCCCTCGTGTCCGATCAGCCAGGAGATGTAATGAAGAGGTTTCACTCTGACGACAAAAAAAAACAAAAGACACACGATCAGTGAAATCTGCTCCGACCGAGAGACGAGAGATCTTACAAGCAGCGAATGTGAGAGTGGGCGATGCTTTGACTCCTTCCTCTCCGGAGGTGGAAATGATTGTTCTAAAACTCCCTCGAGTTACACTCAGTGATCTCACTCAAAACTGGACTGGACTAAGGGAGTCTAACTTTTTGATACTCTAAGATGTCGATTACATTTTGATTCTTATTTTTTAAGATCGATTGTATTGTAAAGAACTAAAGTTTTAAAAACAAAACTACGTCTGGTGTGTAGGAGAGGAATTAATCCATCAGGCAGACTCCTGCTTATTCTTTTCCCATTATTTCCTACATCATCATCGGTGGAGGGTCTGAAAGTGGTCGTGGACTCACCTGTAGTGTTTCCCCTGCGGAGGTACGGCCCAGCTGATGGTCAGAGCGTGAACCTTCCTCACAGGAACAACTGCAACACACAGACTTCAGTGTTAGTGTTCCTCTAGGAGAGAGTAATTCAGGGATAATCTAAACCTTTACATACATCGCTTCTGTCATGATAGGAGGAGGAGGAGGGGGGTGGGGGGGGGGGGCACAGATGGAAAGGGCGTGCCTGCAGTTGCCATGGTGATTTTAGATGATGTCTGTCAGTTTGTGCAGGTTAAATCAGGAGCTGATCGCACGAGGAACTCTGCACGACCTATGCTAGACGATGCTTCAAAATGAGTGACGACTCAAAAAGTGTGCGCCCGGCTTTAGCGGACATGCATCCACATATTTCTTTAATTGCTTTTTTTCTGTGATGACGAGAACATGTCGGTGGTTTTCTCGAGATCTCAGCTGAACTCGTACCTCTAAAGGTTAAAGGTCTTAACTGACCTCTTCAGTGTGGGCGACGGCAGCAGAGCATGTCATGGTCTGGTCTATCAGGGAGTATTATTTTGTTTTCTAAATCGACAGATATTGATCCTTTTACAACGAGAAAACCAGCTTTGTTTTCTCCAGATCATGAGAATGGTAAACCGAGATCTGGAGTCAAAAAGCAGTTACAAAATTAACTCGTTAATAACGAAAAACTGAGCCAACAAAATGTAGGGATGGATGTTCATTAGGACCTGACCAAGATGGGATTTCTGGGGGCGATACTGATATCGATATTGGTGATAGAAAGAAATCTGATACCGATAAATCGGCTGATATCTTTCTTAGATCTATCTCCGATCTGCAGATATCGATAGATATAGATAAACATATTTATTGTGTTGATCCCTTAAATGCAGTTATCAAACACTAGTGGAAAAGATTTATGATGAAGACAAGATGGCCACTCGACTGGAAAGTAACTGAGCATGTACGTGAATCACCGCTTGACACTCTGGAGAGTGATGATGCATGTTGTAATCCATATAGCGCCCTCTGCTGGTGACAGCCAGAAAGAGAACTTCCAATAAATCTGGTAACATCGGCACATATCTGTGATAAAATGATCCGATACTGAAAGTCACTGGATAAGCGTTTATCAGCCGATATTGTAGGCTGGCGGATCAATCGGTCGGGCTCTAACGTTCACTCAGAGTTTATCTCGAAAAGCAACTCTAAAAATGCAACTCAGAGCGCTCGACAGACATTACAGATCAAACAAATAACACAACGACAAACAATAAGAGACGGTGTCAGACCTCTGTAGAGTTTGTTGAAGGCCGGCGTGTCAAACGGCTGCTGCAGCGGAGAGAAGTCGGCTCGAGGTTCACCGCTGGAAGAAAAAGGTGTCGTTGTTGTTTTTCCTGGTTTTGATTCTTGTAAAATAATCACTTTGTTATGCAGCGTTAGTCATAGATCTGCAATATATTAATACAGTCAGAGTACATTTACACATACAAGGAATTTGTCTTGGAGTATTGGTGCAAAAAACAGTTAACAAAGGAAATAAAGCAGAACTAGCAACAACTTAAATAAAATATGGAAGCAATTACAATATATAATATACAATTAAAACATGTAAAAGTATAAGAAACATAAAATGTGCAATGGAGAATCTGTGCAGTTTGACAATGGAAAGTAGTTTGTGTACGAGAATATCGGGTGTGTGTGTGTGTCTTTGCGTGTGTGTGTCTTTGCGTGTGTGTCTGTGTCTGTATGTGTCTGTACTGTGTGTGTCTGTATGTGTGTGTGTCTGTCTGTATGTGTTTGTGTGTGTCTGTGTGTGTGTCTGTCTGTATGTGTTTGTGTGTGTCTGTGTGTGTGTCTGTCTGTGTTTGTGTGTGTGTTTATGTGTGTGTGTCTGTCTGTGTTTGTGTGTGTGTGTATGTGTGTGTCTGTCTGTCTGTGTTTGTGTGTGTGTGTGTGTATGTGTCTGTCTGTCTGTGTGTGTGTGTGTGTGTGTGTGTCTGTGTCTGTATGTGTGTGTGTCTGTCTGTGTGTGTGTGTGTGTGTGTGTGTGTATTTGTCTGTCTGTCTGTATGTGTGTGTGTGTGTGTGTGTGTGTGTGTCTGTATGTGTTTGTGTGTGTCTGTATGTGTGTGTGTCTGTATGTGTTTGTGTGTGCATCTTTGTGTGTGTGTGTGTGTGTGTGTGTGTGTGTGTCTGTATGTGTTTGTGTGTGCATCTTTGTGTGTGTGTGTGTGTGTGTGTTCACACTTCTTACTTGTTGGGAACTTTGATGAAGATCTCTCTCACCCACGTCTCCAGAGTGTCCAGAGTTTCTGAACAATGAAAACATCATAAACACACAAACTCTCACCAGATTTCAGCGCTCTAAACAAAGAGGCGCAGGGTGCTGTGTATTTTCTCTGGGTGGTGGCTTGCTGCTGTGAACGCTCTACTCAATGAAAACAATCTGTAAAAAAACGCTCAGTGGACACAGACTCTTTTGTGCTCTAATTCTAGGTTAGTATCATGGTAATAGTGCACTGATTGGTTTAGCTTCCAATAATCAAGATCCCAATTAAGGTTTTATCAGCTGCATGTCGGAGAGTTTCTGCATCAGAAGAACTCTCATCTCTGAGTGTGCGTCTCTCGTTGAGTCGCTGTGTGTACCTTTGGACTGCACGGTTAGCGTCATGTAATGAGCCGAGTAATATCTCCTCCAGAAGTCTCGGAGCCGCTGGTAGGTGTTGATCTGTTTCTCTCTGGGCTCATGCTTTAATGTCTGAGCGTTACCTGAGAACAACAGAAGTGTGTCACACTTTCCAGGTCCATCGATTCTTTAAAAACATTCATTATGAAATATGTGACAGTTTAATTACTGGAGGAAGTGGAACATAAGAAATGACTTAAAACGACGGCTCAAAGATGGTTCATGTGATGTTCTTACCCCAGCAGAATTTGCCCATTGGGTGTCCTGGTTTTGCCAAACTCCCAAACAGCATCTCTTTCCGGTGAGAGTCGGACGGCCTCGCTAGCTGGTACTCTGCACGGGATGGAGGAGAACACCGAGAGCATGAATCTGTGAACGCAGCTGAGAAACATCAGACACCTGGAGCGTGTCGGTAGAGTTACAGTGTGAGGTTTGTGTTGGTGTCGACTCACCGCTGTCCACGGCCTCCACCTCTCTGTCGATGGCGTCTTCTATCATCAGAGGACAGATGAAGAACTGAGCCCACCTGGAACACACACATACACCAGCAGGTTTACTTTTTCTCCATCTTGTATTTTGTGGCTCTTCTGTTGGTATACACATGACCAGTAGGGGCAGTGTAGAGGTAGAGGGGACATGACAGACGCCCTTTTCAGACTGTGTTACCACAAAAGGGGCGCGACTAAGCTCAGCCGTCATCACATCTTTGTACATTCAAATTGATTCCGCGATGGCGTGATATTGGTGTCCCAGTCTGTGAAGTAACATTCGGCGTTACTGAAGCACGGTACAGCAGGAGCGCCACATAGACACAGTCAGAGGGCGTGAATATGGTGTTGCACACATTCTGTTTTTATTCACTTTTGCATCGTTAGTTTCGGCCCTGCAGTAGAAAGAAATCAGATCTGTGCTGCTGCCCAGGATCGCCCACACTCCCTTTTTTTTTTCTTTCCTGCTGAGAGAACATTTTAGCGCCGACTTTGTGCACATGTCGCTGACTCAACCCGGAGAAGTTCCCCTGAAGTTCAAACCGCAGACGACTCATCGTCTGTCGTCTCAACCATCCACAGAGGGTTGCTCTAAAAAAACAGCATCAATGACAACGTGACAACCGAGAGAACATCAGGCGTCCTGTTGGGAGAGCGCCTGAGTGCTCGTGGTCATCTTTAATGAACCGGCTGACCTCCCATCAGAGAGCCAGCCAGCCAGCCAGCCAGCCAGCCAGCCAGCCAGCCAGCCAGCCAGGCAGGCACGCACGCACGCAACAGCGTCTGGTTCACTCCCAGACTGGATCCTCTGGACCGTTCTGTGAGTTTTCTTTGACATAAAAACATCTCAAACAATTTAAAACCGACCATCTGTGTAACCTTTTGAGAAGCCGGACTCACCTGTCGAGCGCCTCTCTGAAATACTTCCTCTGCACGTCAAACTGGAAGATGGTCCTCTCGCAGTCGGTGGAGGCGTTGTCGCTTCCTCCGTGCTTCTTCAGGAAGGCGTCGAAGCCGTTCTCTGCGGGGTATTTCTCACTGCCCATAAACACCACTAAAGATCAGAGAGTCAGAGAGCGGGGGGATAACAAGTTACAAAACAAACCAGAGGAGATAAAAACTCAACCTGTTATTTTCTGGTGAGAACTCAAATTTCTCTGTACTCTTTTCAAAGAATTCCTGAAGTCTGTTTTCAGTGTGCAGCTTTAAAGGCACCCTGTGGAGTTTTTTTGTGAAAACAAAAAGTTCAGTTCTGATTAAGGGCCACAGATAAAACTTTTCGCGCTGGAAGCACTCATGACCTCCGTTTCAGAGCGCTTCTCATCAGCGCTGATTGTTGCTAGGTTACAATAGTTAACTTCTGCTTCCCTCGGTGATGACCGTTAAGTGTCATTTAGCTCCATGTGCTTCATGTTTCATGTGACTTATAAGATGGTTTCTATACTGATTAGAGCTCTCAAGAACTGCCCTCAATGTTGTGCTTTGCCTCTGGTCACTTCCTGTCAGCACCTGTGTGTCCAATCAGACTCAAAGCTGATCGTTTGCTCTTACTCACATTGTTCCCTTTTTTCTAGATCCTTGCTTGTGTTGTTCTTACTCTCTGATGTACGTCGCTTTGGATAAAAGAGTCTGCTAAGTGAATTGTAGGGTTTGCTTAAATTCAAAGAAATGTCACCAAGAAAACATGAAGACGACGTGAAGGAACTTAGGAACTGTTCCCTCCAAAAGACGAGTCAGACTAGCGTCTCATCCGCCATTGTTGTTGACAAAAGCTGATATCAGAAGTACTGCCCCTTCTTGATCCTAATTGGTCGGTGAGGGAAGCGACATTGACGAGCGACGCGCTGTTCCGAAAGTTCAACTGTTTTCAACTGAGAGCGCTGTGAACGCAGCGACTAAAACGACAGCTGACACCGAGGGCATTTAAGCACTCGCTGAAAACGCTGAACAACATTTTGTATCGATGAGCGCTGCCAGAGCAAAAAGCTCCGTCTGTGGACACAGGCCATAAATGTTTCTCTACAGAATCAGTGTGTAACTCATTGAGCTCTTACGAACCAGCTGGATGAATTTCCCTCCTTATAAACATTTGCACATTTTTAACCTCTATGAATCTATAAATGTTTACATCAGTGTTAAAAATATATCTGTCGTCTTCTTCTTCTTCTCAGCAACTGTTGGCACATTGCTACATTTCTTTGCTGCATTATTTCCCCCGTACATTTGTGGGATAGTTTGCGTCTCCTGCATGTGTTAAAAGTGGAGGTTGAGGTGAGTTGATGTGTTTGCATGTCCACCACAAAAAAACAAGAAAAAATGCAGACGTCAGAAATCTTGCGTCACTAATGTGGTGAAAAAGTTGAGAGGAAGGCATGAACTGATATCCATGTGTTTCTGTGGACTCACTGTGCTCCAGGAAGTGGGCGAGGCCGGGCAGGTCGTCCGGGTCACTGAAGCTCCCCACACTGATGCACAGAGCCGCAGCAGCCTGGAAACACACACAGCCACACACATTCTCAAAATAAAAGCATATTACTCTTACCCTCACTTTGCTGAGAAACATGAAGGGTTGATGATAAAAGCTTTTAGTTTTTAGGATTTATTGCAACTGAGGTACCTGCTAATTATTTATATCCTAAATATAAAACAACAGCCCTCAAGTTTGTTATGTCAGTTTCTGAATCTATACGTCACAAACCTGCTTCTCGGAGCTCCCTCTCTTCGTCTTTCCTGCATTGTCTTCATCCAGCTCATCAAAGTCGCTGTCCTGCTCTTCCTCTTCGTCTTCCTCCTCGTCCTCCTCCGAACCCTCGCCCGAGTCTCCTTCCTCCTCATCGTCATCCTCCCGCTCCCCCTCCCCCTCCTCCCGCCCGTCCTCCCCTTTGTCCTCTCCGTTCTCACTGCCTCCTTTCCCCTCTGCCCCGCTGAAGTCAGAGATGAGGAGCGCTCGGAGGCCGTTAGCCAGCTCGATGTACCTGCAGAAAGAGGGAGAGGATCCACGTTGCTATGGTAACGCTAACAAACCCCTGCTATGAGGGTAATGTCAGTTTTTATTTAGAATTCATGCTAAACTCACAGATCTCACAAGATTCTGTCTGGTGTGTATCGAAGGTCGTCAACAATTTTTAAACTTTTAAACAAAACAAAAACAGAAGTCCTAGGCACCAAATATTTATTAATTTTTGGGTTTAATTACCAAAAACTCCCGGCGAACTCCTGCACACTGTCTTAATTGCACAAAAGCATTGCATGCACTATGTCTGGTATGATAGTCTTCAGGAAATCCTGTAGTCTGTGATGTGCTAAGAGTTTCATATCTTATAATGTGAGCATGTTCGAGGTTATGGAGAAGAAGATCTGTTAGGATTCTCCTGTAGTGTGTGGTGCAGCTCGAATTCAAAATCAGGAAGGATTTAAGAACTGCAGTGTGAGCCAGGCTTTAGGCTGACATTTCATGCGGGCGGCGTTCTCTCCCACCTGTATTTCTTTGGGTCACTGGGCGATCTGATGATCTCTGGGTCTCCCCGGTCTTCAGCAGCGGCTCCTCTGCCTACGTCTCCAGCAGCCTCCTGTGACCTGACATCCTGAGGCGGTGGCGGTTCACCCTGATCCGGAGCAGACACCTGACCTGGCACACTGCACCCGCTCGCCGACTTGTTGGTCTGAGGCATTTTGACAAGTAGAGTCCTCGAAGTGACAGCGCTGCAGATCCATGAGAACATACATGAACATGTAAGGCATCGCACACAAGGGTTGTCGCGTTAACAAGAATTTTGCGATATTAATACCTGTGTGATACCACATATACAAGTCCTAGGCCCCCAACATTGGGTAATTTCTTGTTTTCATTTACAACAATTGCAGTCAAACTCCTGCAAACGCTCTAAACTGCACATAAATAAAGGCAGCGTGCAGCGCTTTCTTTCAATTTTTGATGGATTCATTCCTCTCCCATGTGCCTGTCGTATAGAACAGATGTACTGTTTACATTTTGGTACCTTTTTCAGGTATTATAGATCATTAAAAGAACAGATTGCATCGTTTTTAATTTTAAATACATGTACATTTGCAGGTCATCTGCAAAACAATGGAACAAGATTTCATATTCTGTCAGAAACAGACCCCCAGAGCCAGTGAACATAGAGAAGCACTTCAGGTGACAAAATGTCAATTTATCACTCATTTAATAAGTGTACGAAAAGGAATGTTTGATAAAAGACTAAAAATAAAAACATTTGATCTATTCAAACGATCATTTAGCTTGGAGCTGTATAAATCCCTGCAGTTAGGTCTAAAAACACAAATAAAGTCTTGAGTTTCTTTGTTTTGTAGAATCTGTTTTTATCAGTAACAACAAGATAAACTGATGTTCAAATATTCAACTGAACAGCTGTGACACATTGATTGAATGTATGCCGAATTCAAGAGGGCCATCTACAGATTAAGAAAACACTTTGAGATGAATTTAAACACTTGTGGTTTATCTAAGAAAAGAGGATGAAGTTTAAAAATCTACTTTTTTTTAAAGCGGTTTGGCGAGGAAGCTTCGTCGCGCGACTAATCTGCGGGAAAGGGAAATGATGCTAACAGTCGAAGCTAACACCAAACATGTAAAAACAACGTCGCTACAGTTACTTTAATCTTTAAAAGAGGCCGTAATAAGCTTATTGAAGAAGGCAGTTTAGTTCATTAAGCTAACGACCGGCTTGGTTAGCGGTGTATTAGCGTTCAGTAATCCCGTTGAATGACAGTTAAAGAGCTAAGTTAGCCGCTGTGGCTAACTCACGAGACGTCTGGTGACGCCGTCACGTACACAAATAAATCTGAACTCTGAAACGTGACGCAGCAGATTCGTTTTGTTTCTCTTCGATGAAAAGACAGGCTCACCTTTCTGCTGGATGTATGTTGAAGGAAGTTTGGACGTTCCGTTTCAGTACAGCCGCGTAGCACCGATCGGCTAGCAGTTAGCCAAAACAAAGCCGCTGATTGGATAAGGGCCGATCCATCGCAGACAAGCGGAGCGTGTGATTGGATGAATCGGTGACGTAAGCGATACGTTTGCCGGAAGAGCACAACCAAAGAATACTGGTCAACAAATTGGTACTTTTTAACTTAATTATGACATCGTTTTTATTATTTTTCCAGAAAAACAAATATATTTAAGTATATTAATATTTTATTGTCCTTTTTAGTATTGATGTCTTGACTGCAAACATGTAAAAAATAAATAAAACAATAGCTGTAGTTAATTATCAAAGTCCTTAGTATATATACTCATTTACAATAATATAATAATAAAATATGACATAATTACTCATATACCAATATCTAATGACACACCAGAATATAGCTAATCACAATTTACCATAACCTAATCTTATATGAAAATAAACATACTAACACAGAGAACTGAATAATTATTGACAAACGCTGGTGAATGTTGTTGCCCTTCTTCTTCTGTATATTTATTTATAACCTGTATTATATTACTACATTGCTTTAGATCTGCACTCAGTTTGTTCCACCGTTTCAGATCCATAAATAGACCGACAGAAACTTTTCAGCGTTGTGCGGAAACTATGCGTCTTGATACTTTATTTAAATGCCCCTTTAAAGCTGGTATATCCTCCTCTTCTTCTTCTTCAGTTTAAATAAGTCTCAGAGCTCCTCAAAACATGTGTGTGAAGTTTCTTGTTCTAAATCCACTCTGATCCTGTATTTGCTGCTTTTATTCTTGTGGCGTTTTTTTATACTGAGTGGTTATAGATTGCTTTTAAAACTATTTCCCCCAAATCTCCGAGCAGTAGTTCAGATACAGTGAAACACAGTGTGCTGTAAAGAATAAGTGATTTAAGATGGAATGGACATGACATATCTTGTGCACGCAACATGTTTATTTTGTATTTTTTTCAGGGGCTCCGTCGATTGGTGAGGTTAGAAATGGTAGATTATTGATATTGAGTTGTGTGTGTTTGTGTCGCATCTCAAACTTCAGCCCACTTGTCAGAGCCAGAGACCCAGTTGGGACAACCCAGTCAAAAAAGTCTGGATCCATAGGCGGGTCACTGCATGGGCAAAGTGGGCAATGTCCAAGGTCCAGCAAGTTCCCAGGGCGAATGGGAGTCTTGCAATAAAATGAATTATTATACATATTATGAAAATATTTAAAGATTTTTGGCCTTAGAGAGAGAGAGCAAGCTGCAAACAGCTGTTTCTACGCGCTAACTGGAACTACAAACCATTTTATTATAGCATAATTAAACAATAAATAACATAATTTAAAGAAAGGAATACATGCTGTGTGATTGTGAAACTAAACTCTGCTGAGGGATTAAAAACACCGTGTGAGTATATTTGAATTCTGCAGGTTAATGGCGATTTTGCCTCATGGTCATTATAATCCGTCCCTGAGTGTCAGACAATTCCCATCAAAGACAGAAGTCTCTTTTTATGGTTCAAGATTATTTTTATTATACTAAATTGCATCTATAATATACAAACATTCACAATATTTTTTGTACAATCACTTTGTGCTTCTCCCCCGAACAGGAGTGAACTTCAAGACGACAAGTTTACATAAACTCTCTATTGGTTTACACAGCAGAAAAATAAATTCATACTCAACACCATTATAGTTTCTACCTCTATCATTTACAAATTCACGTAAAAAATAATCATATGAACACGATGTCGATATTATTGTACGTTTTTTTTTTTACTCAATCTGAAGACACATGGTGGGGAGTCACACACAGAAACGTGCGCCGTCGTAGCGATATAACAATTTGGCAGGATTGTTTTTAAATATTCTAATATTTAATAGTAAATGCACAAATATTTTTCTCCTTGTCTTCCCTTTTTCTTGAAGTCTTTCACACACACACACACACACACACACACACACACACACACACACACACACACACACACATACACACACACATACACACACACTGTATCTCAGCTGACTTGACATTATCAAAGTTTCACACTTCTGTCAAAGATACTGCACACAAACACTAAAACCCTCACAACTGAACACGCGATAAATATCATGATAACCATATGCAACAAGAGAACTCACACACACACACACACACTCAAACACACACACACACACTCAAACACACACACACACACACACACACACACATTCAAACACACATTCATGTAGGAAACACTGCAAACATGACGGCAAGGGGAATACACCTGCTCAAGGGGAAGGAGGGACACCGTGTGCTCTTCACTCAGCAGCTCTGCTCACAGGTGTGTGTGTGTGTGTGTGTGTGTGTGTGTGTGTGTGTGTGTGTGTGTATAAAACAGCCTCAGTGTGGTGTTGGTGTGCGAGCTGTTCACCACCATGACGCAGGGCTGCAGCAGCGGGCCGGGGTCGAGTCTCTGGCAGTTCAGATGTTTTCTTTAGGATTTAAAAGCAGCTTGATTTGGGGTTTTATAATGTTCATTTTCTTTCTCTTAAAGACAGAGTCAGCAGCTTTTCCCTTCAAAATAAAATACAGTCTTCTCCTAAAGTGAAGCTGCTTCATTGTCCCTTCTGGGCCTCCATACATGTGTGGTGGTGACTGTGTCTGCAGAGACTCTGTCCTCTGACTGGATTTTACTGTTCTGCTTTGTTCTGGTTGACTCGGGACGTTTCTGGGCGGGGAACTCCCTGAAGCTCAAGTTCTGTTTGGATGGTCCAGTGTGAACTCTACGTTGATTTGTCTGAAATGACACCTCTGAAGAACTGTCTGTTGAACTTTACATTGTCTAAAACCTGACAAAGAAGCACTCAACTTTAATATCAAATCGGTTTTATCAGTGTAGGACTCGCTCCTGTGAAGTTGAATGATTCCTGCTGCAGCCCTGCAGAGTTGTGCGTTGGTGGTGTAGCCCTAAAGCGTTCAGTTGTTTAACTGTAGTCAGACTGAACTGAAGTGGACTCACTACTGTCTCTGGATCTGACAAGCAGCCTACGTGATGTTTTTGGCAGATGACTCGAGCTGTAAACTTGTGAACATGAGCAGCTGTGGTGTGGTTAAGTGTCTCGTTGTGCTACACTTGGAGAGGGAAGGCAGTTTTGTGCTTAACCGTGGACCCTGCTTCCAGCTCTTTTAAGCGGCACACTCCGAGCAAAAATCCAAATGCGGCTGATTTGTTAGCTTGCAAAACACAAAATGGGAGGCTGCAGTTTGCATTTGATTGGGGCAGTGTGTGCAGGCTGACCAGATTTACACTGAACAACTTGTAAACAGCCACTGTTTGGCTTCTCTGACTTTCACCGGCAGGATCAACGCTGCCATAAACCAGAGGCTGATGTTTTCCAACTGCATCCTGGGAAATGAGACAACACACTTGGGTACCTCAAAACAGTCACATCACCTGTTGTAAAGTAAGCAGACAAAACAGCAACTTCCTGACTCTGTTTACACCAACAGCCTGATTCACAAGAGGATTACGCAGCTTTTGCGCCCGCTGACGTTCTACAAGCGAGTCAAAAAGGCCAAAACACAAAAAGCACGCGAAGGGTTAAATGCTCCCCAAACTGCGCTGCAGAGCTGTTTGTACGTACTTAAATGAGGCATTATGCAGTGAGGGGACAAATTGGCTCATTTCTGTGTAAATCTTCCTCATTGCAAAAAGCGTCTAATTCACAAACATCGGCGCTAACAGCCACGCACACTTACAGTGACAAAATTAGCGTCTGCCGAGAGTTGGCGGTAACTGCGCTGCAGTATTTATAAGAGATGTGACGCTCAAACTTTCTGGAAAACAATTACTCCTCTGTATAACTTCAAAATAAAAGCTCTGTAAATGAAGCTATGTACTTATAACTTTGACATGGCTATTTTTTTTATATTAGCAGGGGTTAAATTAGTCCGGGGTTGGAGCTGTTACCATGACGTTGTTGTTGTTGTTGTTGTTGTTGTTGTCTATGAGCTGTCCTCTTCTGTTCCAGTCAGGGAGGAAGCTTTGGTTTAAATGGTGAAACTCTCACAAGTTAAGAGTGTGTCCTCTTGATAACAAGTACAAGACATATGTCTATGTGAACTGAGCTCAGTCACTGTGAGAGTGCAGAAAGCTTCTCTCCACATGCAAACGCTAAACAAAAACAAACTGCACGGATCATGACCACTAATTGAATATCATTAGAGTGTTATCCTTTGTGAATAAGACCTATCAGATAGCAAGTAGAGGGAGCAAATGATGCATCATTTTTGGAACTTTAAGCGACCGTAATCCTTTTCTGAGTGAATCAGGCCGTGGGTTTTAAACAACTTTCTTGAAGGATGTCCCAAACAAGATTCTTTTAAACAGTCTTTAACTGACACTCAGACAACAGACAAGGTTTAGCTTCTGGAGGAAGTTTCAGGTCTTTTCTGCAACAGACAAACCAACCAAGACAAAGACTATTTTATGGACTAAAACCCAAATTACTGCAAGGTCGACTATTTTAGCAGCACTAAAAAGATGACGAGCATTAATTTAGCTGATCAACACTTAAGGTAGAGACTCTCCTTTATCCCTCCGTCCATCGTAAGTCTCCTCAAGCTGACTACTTGTGCTCAGATGTGTGTGTTCGGGGGTCGCTTAGAAAACACAAATAAAGCTTCAGGGACTGATCAAACCTTCCCGTCTTTTCTCTGGAGGTTTTGATCTGTTACCAGGACAACAATGATTTCTGATAAACTCTTCTGTGCTGCTTTTGTTTAACGTTCTAAAAGTGATGAACCCAGTGGTGGGTCTACAACCTCTGTGAACACCTCAAATTAAATTTTGTCCGGAGTACGCTGCCACTTCTGCTTCTTCATATGCGTAAGGGCAAATCTTGGATACTTTGGGACGGAGGAGGTGATGAAAGTGTTAAAATCGCAGTAATTATTGACCGCTCTCACACATGGACCAAAGCAGAGACAGTGTGTTGAGGAATGTTACAATATTTTTTTCTGTTTTTTTTCTTTTTCTTGAGGGCTTCTCG